TAAAACCTGCACTCTAACCCACCTGTGAGTTTCATAAAGTGGCCGGTGTGTTTGTGTGCTCTGCAGGATACACAGGCAGGATTATTTCTGTTGGTGAACTGTAGGGACGTGGAGGTGAGCAGGAGAGGACAAACTGTCTCAATCGATCCCGAGCAGCCTCAGTGTTACAATGTTGCTTTGTTTCAGTTGTGTCACCATAACTCAGCCAGCAGGGTTGATGGGACCATGCTCTGAATGGTCCAGATAGCCTTGGTAGAGCCCACATGCCCCACGGTGGTGGAGCGTGCAGCTACAAATCACCAGCCCCACCTGACTCCAGCTGTGTTTGTAATGAAGTGAAGTCTAAAGGCCCACACTTAAGGGTTAGCCGACCTCCGCAGCTGTTCCCACATTTACAATTTAATCTACTGAAAGACTCTTTCAAATAAAGATGGGATGATTTGGAGCAGTTTAACAGTAACTGTATTGAAGATTCATGTTTTTTTTTTTTTGTTTGCTTGTTTTAGACCTGGACATGAAACGAGTCAGAAGAGTCAAAGTGTCAATCACAACTCGTGCTGTCTAGACATGAGTTGGAGACACTCGTGACAAAATCAGATCCATCTGAGACTTATTGACTATTTTAAAGGGGAAAAGGGTTTGGAACATCTAAAAAATCAAAGATACGGACGTCTCAGTTTTGTAGATGTGGAGCACCAGCTCCACATGACCTGCTCAGGATGAAGAGGGTGTAGAACCTGGATCCACTGCCATCATGAACAAACCTGCAGACTTTGCTCCATCTTGCTGCAAGTAGATCATTTCAAAGTTGCGGTACACCATGAAGTTTCTGGCCGATAGTCTCTCAGAGTTTCAACCTGAGCATGTTTTTTTTTTCTGAGTGACCCTGAACACAGCACCAAACATCTCACCACCTGTGCCAGAGTTGCTGCTCCTCTTACCAAGTGCCAGGTCAGACTTGGAGTTTATCTTTATGTGTCCTTTGCTTGAATATTGTCAACTGTTTACCGTATTTTTCGCTGAATAAGTCGCAGTTTTGTTGCATAATTTACATGCCCTGCGACTTATACACCAAAGTGACTTTTTTTCCCATATTTATAAACCAATATTTGGTTGAGATATCACCGTTTTCATTCATTGACTGAAAATATTGAACACTAATATTTTCAGCCGCTAGATGGCACTCGAGCAGTATGGCATGCCTTTGTGTCATGTAATAGGTAAAAGTGGTTATTATTGACACAATCGGCTTGCCACAGTCTGCCACCTTCGTCCAGCTCACCTGGAGCAACCGTCAAATCAGCGTCAATTCACTGCACCGCTCCGGCGAAATGCAGCTAATTTGACCACTGAAGTGCATTTAATAAGTAAAAGTTCAATTGAGACACACTTTTACTATAAAGTCGAGCAAAGAAATAATCATTTTAGGTGCTTATCTTGTTAAATTTCGAAGAAATGCGCTGTGTTTGTCCTTCCTGATTTCCTTCCTCTGCGCGCTCCCGGAGCACAGAAACAGCGAATACTTTTGAAAATACATCTGATTTGACCGTCAAAGTGCATTTATTAATTAAAAAAGTTAGACCGATACACAACTTTGCTATAATTTTGAGCAAACAAATAATTGTTTTTAGTGTTAAGCCTGTTAAATTCTTGTTAAAGTCCTCTTGTGCACGTTCCTGTGGCTTCCATTAGGCAGCCAATTGATTTTTGGCACACCGGCCCACATTTCCAGGTTGTCAGCGGTGACGAATAACAAACGCGACGCGTCAGCAGTGACGAATAATAGATGCGATGTATGCGAAGCGACTTATTTATGGATTTTTCCACTTTCTTAGACATATATGGACTTATGTGACTTATAGGGCGGAGCCACGTTTACGGCAGAAAATATGGTATTTGAAATTTAGGCTTGGATTTTAATAGATTTGGTTATTTGACTGGACTTTTGGGGCGGCTGTGGCTGAGTGGTTAGAGCAGTCATCTTCCAATGCAAGAGTTGGGGGTTCGACTCCACAGCAGTCACATGCCAAAGTGTCCCTGGGCTCATTGTTTCCGATGTGTGTCCCATCAGTGTATGAATGTGAAAAAGCACTGATCATTATCTGTAGAGCTCTAGTAGAGTGCTGTATGAATGGGTAAATGAGGGCACAGATTGTGTTGTAAAGCACTTTGAGTATCTTGTCAAGATAGAAAGGTGCTATATAAGTACAGTCCATTTAATTGTATTTTGAGTTTTTGAATGACCTGTCTGTTTTGACCTTTTTCTCTCCCCACCCAGTACTTACCGGCAGTAACCCAGTCCTCTCCTCTTCTCCACTTCAGATGAGAGGAGACCACCCATTTGTACCTCAGATCTGTCCCACACCTCTTCTTGTTCTGACCACCAACCCTCACCTTGATTTCAATTACCTTCCTCCTAGCTTTAGTACCAACATAAATAAGAGGATAAGGACACGCACACCTCCAGTTCTAGATTATTCATGGTTACCAGTTACTAACTCAATAAAAGTCAGTGTTCTTTCAGCTTCTTGTTGCTCCTGTCAAAATAAAACTGTTCAACTTGTCTTGTGGATGCTGTTTTTATGAGTTAATTTGACTGATTGAGAGGTGGGATACACCGTGGGCAGGTAATGTGTCCATCACGGGGCTATGACGAGGCAAGCCACCAATCACCCACACACCTGGGGTCAACGTAGAAACCAAACCTGATGTTCTTTTGGTAAAGAAGTCCTCTAGTAGGAGAACACACACCACTGACACACTGCAAACATTCGAGGATGGCTTCAGGGTCACAAAGTGTTGATTTAACTTCCAGATGTTTCAGATCTCAGTTTGAGCATCTGTGGGATGTTCTGGACACACAAGTCCAGTCCACCCAGCATCCACCTTCTGCTAATTTGACAGTTTAGGTCAAAATACTATAATTTTAAAGTGACAGTACTATAGTTCATAGTTTCTTATCTGGCAACCTGGCTGACATGAAAACTACAGTGTTTTCTTATAAATCTGCTGTTTTTGTGTTTATTACCCACAATAATAAAAAAAAATTAAAAAAAAAATTGTAAGCTCAACCTCCAGGTAGATAACAACAAAAAAGGTTAAATTGTGTCATCTGGACCAGTTTCTTTAAGTGAGAAACGTTTTGTCCCCCATCCAGAGGACTTCCTTAGTCTACAGCCTGCCAACCAGATCTGTCATGCAGGTAACCTTCACTGCTGTGTTTCAAGCCAACCTCCTGTTGGAATCTCAGAAGTATGTTCATGTTCATGTTGTTCGTGATGATTGATGGTTTTGAATGGATGTGCACTGTTTGCATGTGTTAAAAGCCTATGGTCAGTTTTGTTTTCTTCCTGGCTCTTCTTACGCATCAAATGTCTGAACTTAAAGGGAGGTTTGGGCTGCAGCTTCTTCTTCTACAAAGCCATGCTGCTGGTATGTTGGTTGTGTGATGTTTAGTTAGCGTTGTCTTGCTGAAATATGCAATAATTCACTAAAATAACAAACAAATAAGCAAATTAAGTCTTCATGGGACCATAAATTGTTCAAAACACAACTGATTTAAAGAGCATTGAAATGTTTCTAACTCTGCCAGTTTGATGAATTTACAGCCACCGTCTGTAAAGCATCAGTGCTAACGTTTAGTAACAAATATTGCAGAACATTTTGCTGAAAAGTTCAGCCTTCGTAGGAGATTCAGTATGTTGCTGGAGTCAGCCTCCCCACCATCACAGACATCTACACCTCCAGATGCAGGAAGAGGGCCACCTGCATCCTGAAAGACCCCACTCACCCAGCACACACACTTTTTGCCCCACTCCCCTGAGGAAGGAAGTTAAGGAGCATTAAGTGTAGAACCACTAGACCGAGGAACAGCTTCTACCCTGAGGCTGTTAGACTCATGAATCTCTAACCAGAATAGTCACTGTGAAAAAATCACATCATGTTGCTGCTGATCTGTTTCATGTTGTTGCTGATCTGTTTCATG